CTTATGCACCCATTTGTCTTCATCGATCATATCAGGAAGGTGAGCACACAATGGTAGGATTTTTTGTTCTTTGATGCCTGATATCTGATCCCTTCGGCACCTCATGATCACAGTTTGTCTTCAGCGATCGTGTCCGGAAGGTGAGCATCTTGGAATGCCAGTTTAATAGAACAAAGTATTCTTGTATTGAGGGGGTACTTGAGTGGAGGCCATCTGCTACCTTAATACTAAACCTATAAATATATGCACATAAATCTATTTCCCCATCCTAATATATATATATTTAGATATGTACATGCCTTTATTTAGACCTCTATAAATATCCTTTGCCTCCTAGCTCTATTTCCTTTTACTTTCCTCTTGTCCCACTATCAGGGTCAGCCTTCATTTGAGTTTCAGTAATTCCTCTTGGTTACATTACCCTTGATCACACCCTACCAGGCCTCCTACACCCTCCTCAACATCAATTTGGATCACTTGTTGTTCCCTTGTCCCTGGGTTTGTTAACACCACTTCCTTTCCCCCCACCTCCCTCATTCCCATGTCCCCACTGGAACTGTTGGTCTGGTTGTTTTCTCCTCCAGATTGTTCATCCAGCCTATCTTATTTAGACAGACCTGTGGAGATAATAAAATGCACAAAAACAAGACAGAAAAACCAAGCAACGAAACAAAACAACAACAAAAAGCCAATGACAAAACAAAACGCAACACAACAGCCAGATAAGAAAAGCTTGTAGTTCGTTCAAGGACTTTTTGTTGGCTTTTAGGAGTGTTTTCCGGTGGAGTCTAATGGGGCGCCAAGCCCTCGCCCCAAAATCTATTTTTGGTATTCCCTGGGGATTTGTTGCTCTGCTTCCCTTGCTGTTCTGTTGCACACCTTTAGTGTTTGGCCTCGGTGTGGTGGGATCAGATCGGGCACAATTCCCACACTATATCTCCAGTGTTGTCCCCTGTAGGGCTATGGGTCAGTGAGGGATGCTGTGTCTCATAGTGGGGCCGGCCATATGGTCTGCTCTGTGGATTGCAGCTCTGGGCGGGATTATCATCGTCAAGGCTTGGTGGGCCAGAATGTGTTCCACTCTTTCTTCCTTCCCTTCATTTGCTCCCGTGTGCTCTGATCAGACATGTCCCTCTCCCTGAGCTGTAGATTCAGTGCTGTCCTCTGAAATAGATTCTTCTTGGGGGAGGGGCAGTTATCCACGTAGTTGGAATTGGGGCCGGCCCCTCAGACCTCTCCACTGGTTCACTACTCCATACTGGCAGGTTGCATTCACATCTTGGAGCACCAGGTTGAAATCTGATCCCTCTTTCCCTGTGGAGATATAAACAATACCCTCCCCTTGGGTGGGTTAGTGCCCTGTGCCCCCACTACCCATTTCTTTTTTTATTATTTTCCTTCCCCCCTCCTTTTGAGTTGGCTACCTTATGTATCCCTGGATTTGGTCTGGCCACTACCATACAACCTGGTCCTCACCCCGGGAATGTTTGTATACAGTAGCTTTTTCCCTATGCCCCTTTTGCATTTTTTTTAAGCTTACCTCAGCGGACTCATGTTGTACTTACCCTTTTTTTGTGTTTGGCTTACTTCACTTAGCATGATTTCCTCCAGTTCTTCTCATGCAGCGATGTGCTTCATACATTTATCACTGCTTTTTAGTGATGCGTAGTACTCCATTGAATATATGCACCACAGTTTTTTAATTCACTCATCAGTTGACCGAAATTTGGGTTGTTTCCAACTCCTTGCAATTGTGAACTGTGCCGTGATGAACATTGGAGCGCAGATGTCTGGCCGTGGTTTGTTTCTTGCCTCTTCTGGGTAGATGCCCAGTAGGGGGATTGCTGGGTTGTATGGTAGCTCAATTTCCATCTGTTTTAGATATCTTCTGGTTCGATTTCCATAGTGGTTGTACATACCTACAGGTCTACCAGCAGTGGATGAGAGTTCTTGTCTCCCCACAGCTCCTCCAACACTTGTTGCTTTCTGATTTATTGATTTGGGCTATCTTTGAGGGTGTTAGGTGGTATCTCATTTTTTTAAATCATTTTATTAGGGGCTCATACAACTCTTATCACACTCCATACACACATCAATTGTGTAAAGCGCATGTGTACATTCATTGCCCTCATCATTCTCAA